AAGCGGGTGATCAGCAATGTGCGGAATGGACTAGTTGATCCAAAATGGAATTGACAAATGTCTGAAACGGTAGGCTGTTTTCTGCGCCGGATTTTGACAGAGTTTCACTCCGTATCTTTGCATTTCCCACTATACAAACGCGAACTACTAGCATTTTAGGTAGTCGCAAACCATAGCGTGCAAACTCCTTTAAACGTATTGCCATAAATATGGTTCTCGTTTGAAGATGGTACTCCCATCAATGAGATATCGAGCAAAAAAAATGATCAGTGATTATAAGGTGGCAGGGAGAAATGAATTTCGGCATGTAGCTGCACACAGCACAATGCTAACTAGCATGATACCTGGTACAGTGGGAATCTACCAGCCACTTATTATCGGAGACGCACGTAGAAATCTGGGAATTAGATACGGCATGGTGATCTGCGATGGGTTGTGTGTATTGAAGTAGGAAATAGAGAATGACGGTTTGGTAGATCAATTTCAATAAACGTAGTGCACCACTGTTCACGAAGCTTGCAGTCGCACATGTTCAGTCAACACTTTTGTTTAGTTTCTCGCATTGCTTCTTTGAAAAATCATCCTCGATGATAGGAAAGTATAGGAGACTTTTATTTGGAGGTGATGCGACCTTGCATGCCTATCTGAAGACCTCGGAGGCAATTACGGACAAACTCACCTCTATCGCTAAAGATATTTTAAATGCAGATCAGAAGAGTGAGATCCTTCAATCTTTACAGTCTTATCTATTTGCGCCGTCTGTGAAGTTAAAGCAGGGGCAACCGGTTTTCGGGCTTTCCGCATAGTAATTTTTAGGAAAAAATTGAAAAAAAAACAAAAATCACAAACAAACATAAACAGTCAGAGCGAAAAAAGCCACGAAAATTTCAAATCCACTAAAGGATATTAGAATGGTCCTGATATGTTGAAAAAAAGAGAAAGGAAAGACAACATGTAGGAGACCGAACTGAAGTAGCAGATTGTTGACTCCTGTTCCCCATTTGACTTGAAGATAGGTCTGAGAGGTTGATAGACCCTAGGACTTTCGCGATACGATGACTCTTTAATGGCTCAGTGCAAAACTAGGCGATGGTCTAAAACGAAAGACCGCTTTGCGGAAGAATTACTCTGACAATCCAGCTGACTCTGGGATGGAAACAAGATGCCCGTTGTTCTTCCACGTAGTCATGTCTGTGAACGTGCCAAAAAGTGGAACAGAGTGGTGCGTGAGGTTGCGGATAAAATGGACATTTCTTCTAGAGCTTTAACTAGTACTTGAATTAATTGAAAGGTCCTTACTTTGACCTTCGAACGGCAAAATAGATATCACAAATGAATCTTTGAACTCACCCAGACCTTCCTCCAATAGGACAATTGCAGAACGCTAGTCTTTGAAAGAATTTAGGCAGTTAAACACAGTTTTCTTTAGACACAACACTTATCACTGAAGCAGTAGCAAAGATTTGATCTTTCATTTCTTTGGAGCAAGTCCTTCATATGTAAAGTAATTCCATTTCATTAGAACTTGGCCTGCTGTATCGGAAGGACGAATTACCTCGTAAGCAGTCTTTGTCTCTGTATGAAGTTCGGCACAACGAGTGTTGAAGGCAGGTACTGGAATGATAGGAGAGAGGTGATCTGCTTAGCAACTGCGATCTTTTGCATCGCACAGCAAAACGCTCCTTGACGGGATCCAAAGTGACTGGCTGGCACATCTTCCATGAGTGTCCAGGTTCGACCCTCTACCTGATGTCATGCACGAGTTGTGGGGATGAGTACATCGGGGAGACTGGACGACCCCTGTGCTCCAGGTTAAAGGTGCACCTAGATGGTCTAAGGCGATTAGGCCAGAGACCCTTCCCCCTAGGCAGTCGTCGGGTTCAGTGCCATGGAGGCGTGGAATTTGGGGTGACGGTTAGGATTTTTGATGCGAGAACCACAGACTTCGGCGCGCAAACCTTTGGAAGCGTTTTCGATAGGCGCTAAAAATCTCAAAATGAACAGAGTGCCTGGCCATCACAAACGAGCTCGCCCCGTTTGCTGACCTGGCCCCTCGACTCGAAGCCGATGGGCTTCACTTCCCATCGGCTTCGAGTCGAGGGGCCAGGTCAGCTAAGCCACCCATGGGGAGTCAGTAGCGGTGGTCTAAAGCAAAAACCGGCCGTACATTCAAGGTGAGTCGTTTTGTGGTTGTGACCTATGACAGGTTCCTGGATCCTTCTGTTCTGGGACTAGCTTATCTGAGGTTTGAAATGATGTCCAAGGGTAGCTTCACTCCGATTTTTGACTTTTTCCAGGCTCTGACGAAGGCGATAAGGGTTAGCCAATAAGCAAGCCATTAGCCACTGTTATATCATCTCGGTCACGGCTACAGTAATACCCTAGAAAGAACTTCAAAGTATGCCAAGATTCACCGAGGGTCGAACGTGGACACTTATAAAAGTGTTTAACCATTGACAAATGCATTCTGAGCTGCGGCATGCGCTCTGGTTTCTCTCAAAGCACACGTCACTGGTTTTTATACTCTCATTCCACGATCGGTCAAGAACGGAGCAAACTAGCCATCGGACAATGATGCCATTCTAGGCCAGTTGTTCTATGACAAGAACTATTCTATAGCGCCGGTTCTATAGCGTAATAAGAAACTGATCAAGCAATCAAGTGCCGTGTGAAACAAGCGAGATTCAGAGATGGGAGGTCATATTATGATAAAATTTCTGTTTTCCCAACATTGCCGAACAATTCAGATACTGTATACCGCCATCCTTCACCATTAACTCGAAAATGTGTAACTCAACCCTTAATCTTGCCTTAGGATGTGTGCCAGCCAGTTGTGAATTGTTTTTCGGAAGGCACGAGGCGAAGCGAGGAAGAACGTAATGGCAGAAACCGATTAGCCTGTTCAAAACTGCCCAACAAATTTAGAATTGTGGATAGCATTGCCTTCCTCATAACAGCAACTTCAACAGACGAGCACGAGTCTCAACAAAGAGGCAGAAATGATAAGGTTTATAGCGCTGAAAAGTTGAGAGCCCTAAGTGTCGGCCTATATTATCCACAAATAGATGTAAGCGTTCGTATTGAGCCGTTAGAGATCATCTACAGGTTCTCATATCTTGAAATCATGATGGTGATGCTGAAGCGAACGTCCGTATCCGAAGTGTGTTCGCAAATAAAACGAGAATCTTCTGCTAATCTCTGCTTGAAGGTGAATGCTTAAAGTTAACGATATCTTCGTCGAGTCATAAAGACACTGTATGTAGACCAGGCCACAAATGAAAAGATTCTATATCAAAGCGGCATCAGTAGTCTTCACGTATTGGGTTGGCTAATAAGTAATAGCGGTTTTTTTCAATTGAAAAATTTGTTCGAAAAGTCAACGTTTTGCAAGCAAGTTATACATCATCTGATGGAAACTTCTCGTAGTATAAGAGTATCAAAAAAGCTTTTGTTGAGGATATAGTTTTTGTGGATTTTTCAGTCGTTGAAGTTGGAAGTGAAGTCGCCGAAAATTAGCACCTTCGACAACTGCCTCTATTTGAAAAATTTCATGCTAATAGTTGAATTAATTGAATATGAATTCGATATTCTAATACTACGAAAAATTCGCTATTAAACGATGTTAAGCTTGCTTGCAAAACTTTTCACTTTTAAAACAAATTTTTCAATTGAAAAAAAAACCGCCATTACTTATTAGCCAGCTCACTAGCAGTGGGCTGGCTAATAAGTAATTGCGGTTTTTTTTCAATCGAAAAATTTCTTTTTAAAGGGAAAAGTTTTGCAAGCAAGCTTAATACCGTTTAATAGCAAATTCCTCGGAGTATTAGAATATCAAATTCATATTCAATTAATTCAAATATTAGCATAAAATTCCAGGTGGAACAGACGTGAGCCTGCCCAATATCGGCGAGGTGAAGGTTGACAACTTTGAAATTCTCGAAATCAGTTCCAAAGCGTCCTATTGAGATTCCTTGAGATTCCCTTGCTGAGACTTCTAGCTCAAACTTTCCCAAAAGTATGGAGCAGCTTAAGCGATTTTAGCACTTCAAGTAAACTTAAATAGAGGCAATTGTCGAAGGTGCTAATTTTCGATGACTTCACTTCCAACTTCAACGACTGAAAAATCCACAAAAACTCTCCCCCAACGAAGCTGTTTTGATATTGTAATACTACGAGAAGTTTGCTATTAAATGATGTTAAGCTTGCTTGCGGAACAGTTCACTTTTGGAACAAATTTCTCAATTGAAAAAAACCGCCATTACTTATTAGCCAACCCAATAATTGTTGTACTACGAACTGTCCACATCTTACGCATGTCACGATGCATCGCATTTCACGCGTGCCCATGAAATGGATTATTGCACGACGAGCACGGTATCTTCCAGTCTTGCAGAGACGAACACTTGATAACAATCTGAGAATCACGAGTGTTTTTAGGGACAACGGCAAGGAAATTACGAAAGGAGGTGGGGAGAGTTCATCTCCAGATATGCTCGAAAACACCACAGGAACCAAGTCTATGTAAGAAGGCAATTTTTCAGCAGGAAATTCCCTGATGATATTCCGAGGCGACTCGCGAGAAAATACCTTTGAATGATGTGTCCGAATCACTTCCATTTGCAGATATTAACGCAAGAAAATGTAGTTATGAGTTATCTGAAAAACCCTCTCCCATATGAAGCCGATCCGTAAATCAACTGTCACTGTGTTGTATTAGAGCCCAGTCACTGATCACAGTACCGACCTTAACGAGTAGTTAAATGAGACCGTCGCTTATGAACTTTTATACCGTTTTCACTGCATGTCATAGGAAGTACTCAGTGACCTTTTACTACATTTCGCAATGAAACCCTTTGGAATTGTAGGCTGTTGGTTCTACAAAAAAATTCACATGCTGTGCAATGCTTCACGTTGTACTGTCTCTCTGTTGATGTTTATCATGTGCCTCCCAGTCATTGCTAGTGTACTAGAGCTAGCCATTCATTTGGCATTAACTGAACTCACTCAACGACCGTGTTCTTGCTCAGGCCAGCAGGCTTGCTGAAAGTTGTTTCTTGACAATTGAATTCGTCTCGAGAACGTAGACGACAGCAAAGAATTTGTAGCCTAAATGCGATCCTGTTCAGGTAGTTTCAATGAAGAAACATTCAAATGCTAGTATGGAAGCGAACAAAAACTAAGCACCTTGTATCGGTCAAACGCGCGATACCGGCCACGTACTCTCTACGATTACAGCTGAAGTCGGTGGTTTTGTCCAGTATAGGGTCAAACATTATGGAGTAATAGCAGTCTTCTCGTTCTATCTCTGATATACCGGTTGGAATGTTGACCCATGGAAAAAGCTGAAAACTGCCAACAAAACTAATTTAAGCGGAGAGGAGAGGACTGTGCACCTCTTCTACTCCTTCGCAACTCATATCAAACACAACATCTTGTCTTTTCGCTCCAACAGATTCCACCATCCGTATAGAAATATCAGTTGCCGCAGCCTTTAAACACACGGTCAGTCATGCAATCACTATGCAAATCAATCACTCCAACCAACGGCCTACTCTTTTAGGGCATTCCATTCTAAAATTGTCGAACGGTGAGGAGACAAACGCATTCCGAGCCGTAATACCTGGTAGCAAAGAAGTTATTAGCAGTAACATCTGAAAGTGATAAGCATTGCGCTTGAGTGGTGAGAACTATTCACAAAAAAGACCGAGCTTCGACATGTCATAAAATTACCAGCGTTGGGAGATTATAAGTAGTCACCGTTGTGAGCGCAGCAATGGTATTGAACGTATTAGCTCGGAGATTAAGGAACGTCGATTGAAAGGCGTATCCATCATAAAAAGAAGCGCTTACTTTGCGCAATTGAGGTCAAATTCCAGTCGGTGAACCGGAGCGGAGACAGCACACCGTAGCGTCTACTACACATCGCCAACAAAAAGGAACGTTAGTCTCGCCTAATCATGTAATTACTGAGATAAAACAACGCTGTAAACAATGCTATACTACAAAATTATAAGGCCTCGAATAAAATATCTGTGAATGCTTCACGTTTTATGGATTGAGTTAGAACCTTATGATACCGATTGAAAGTATCCTGACCTTGCACTGATGAGACGAAAGCGAGATCTGAAAAAGGTGAAGATCTGCGACTTGGAATGGGACTTCTCTGTGGAGGTGATCAATCAGTGAAATATGTTTCGCTGCTCCTGATTCTAAATGGGACGATGAAAACTACACTCCTCCTCCCTCAGACAAAATAGGCGTGGCATTCAATCGTGGCATTGATAAGTGACTCGTAGGATATTTCAGTTGAACAACTGTCATCTTGCTCTCTATTGGACAAAGACATGATCACAGCTGGCCCCAAAGTGAAAAACACCTGACGGAAAGCTCAGCCACCGCCACGTTCAATTCATGTGCGTGGCCATGCCTACCACATTTTAGGGATTTTGAGAGCCAGTCTGCACCGGAATTTGTGAACATCCCCATTTACGCACACTGGACATTTCTCGTATGGAATTCGAATAACCACCGACTGGTTTTAGAACAGGAATGGTTTTTAGAACAGGAACCTATTCAACCGATGAGCTATGATGTTCCAGAGGGAATAAAAAGGTAAAGCCCCTGCTATAAAGCGCCAAGTTTGCCTGTATGCCTATATGCTTGTCACGAAGTTTAGCAAGTTTAGCATCACTGAACACCAAATTACAACTTATGGTTTCTTGAGTGGAGGGATACCATAAAATAGTTTGAAAGTCAATTTATCGCAATGATTGAAGCCACTTTTTTCTCTCAGAATCTTAAAAGCTCAGAGGCATTCAATGTAACAAATGGGAAAATTTGGGATAAATTGCAACATAACTCACAAATGAGTGGTTCAGGACATAGGGCGCTCTTTCAAAACACTATGTTGTATGTCGTTGCAGGGACCTGTGCATAGGAAGAACAATAAAGTGCATTGCAGCAGAGACGTGCTAGAAAACCAAAATGAGTGAGAATGTCCTCTATGGAAGGCACTGCATCACGCACCATCCTGGTTCCACGTGCTGCGCATGATAAATATTGTCAGATATAACGATCTACTGGTCATAACCTAACTTTTGTTCGTTAGTTACCGTATTAGGTATACATTTGGCGCGTAATTAGTGATCTCATGTCAGTATATTTGCTCGTCGTTTTTGGTTAGTTATATGTGTTGTTCCTAATAAATATTCCCTGCCTATTCTACTGCCATCTAACTTCCGCGACACAACAATCAGGATTCCAATGGCGACGATGACGGACAAGCACTTCCAGAAACTTCTCATGTCACTTACGGACGCCGTCTAAGGACTTGCACAGCAACAGCCGCAACAGCCAGCCTCACCAATGGCGGAAGCAGCGAGGACGTTCGACCTGCTGGCAGGACGCATCGCGCACTTCTCCTACCACCCGGAAGTTGACCTCACGTCCGAAGCATGGCTCCACAAGCACGAGGATATATTCAAAGTAGACGCGCGGACTCTCGATGATTCAACTCTTGTTCGACTTCCACAGACTGGACGCAACTGCATACGAGAAGTACTCAAGTTACATCCTGCCGAAGACGCCAAGTGACGTCACGTTCGATGAAGCCGTATCGACACTGACCATTCTGTTTGACCCACAGGAGTCACTATCCAGCTGCCGCCACGCCTGCATAAAGGTGGCCGAAGATCCGAGCGAAGACTCCATTACCTATGTTGGACGAGTCAGCAGCGAGTGTGCCAATTCAAGGTATCCAAGTGGGACGAAAACCAGTTCAAGTGTCTTATGTCGTAAGCAGAATACAATCGAGCGACGACACCTTCATACGACTCAAGCTGCCGGACAAGCTGCCGGACAAAATCGAAGCCGATTTAAAGTGCACAGTTCATTCTTGGACAGAGGAATGCAAGCGGCTCACAAGTCTCAAGCGAGCACAAAAATGGTCGAGGATGGATCGTCAAAAGTACGTGCCATCAGACATGGCCCGACAGGACGAACAGAGCAGCTGCTTTAATCGGCTAAACGCTCTCAGGCGGTCCATGAGAAAATTGAGAACCGCTCCTCACCCTACTCGAAGCCCTTCCATCTCCATGCTGGCTATGCGGAGCAATGCATTTCGTCCGAAACTGTACCTATCGACGACACAAATGCTCCGACTGCCGCAAGATCGATACAAGGAAGGATATTGCGATGCTAGAAGACGAGCAAGCCACCCCCTGCGATCCAGACGATATTCATCGAGGCCAACAACGCGATCTGATGTTCACCGTGTCAAGCAGAGATGACAACTATCGTCGATATGCAACAATAGTGGTAGACGGCGAACCAGTCAATTTTCAAGTGGACAGCGCCGCGGACATTACGATCATCAACGAGTCGATAGCTTATGGGCAAACCGTCCCTACAGCCACCGTCACTTATCGCTCACAGTGCCTCCGGAGATCGCATCCAATTCCTCGGTCGACGCAGCTGCACGTATAACTTCACTCAACGATAACTCAAGAAATATATTATGTCGGCCACTCAGCCCAACTTAACTGGTGTAGAATGGATTTCCAAGATGAGAATCTGCTACCTTATACATTCTTCCGGAGCTTCTATCGCAATCAGCGTGCAGCACCACTTCAAGCAACGACCAAATTACAAAAGAACTACAAGACGCTTATACAAAAGAGTTAAGGAGCAAGCTCGGGCTATACTAGCTGTCAGAAGCTACACCACGTCTTGAGAAAAACGCAAAAGTATCCCGTCCAAAACTCAGGCACCGTATGCTGCACTCCCAGCAATTTTCGAACGACTCCAAGCAAAACTACGAAATGCTCTCTCGCTGCTCAGGCCGACTGCACAAAGAAAAGAAACGCGCAACACTCCAATGGAACCGCAGTTCAACAAGAAACAAGGCGCCCTCAGCAAAGGCGATCCAGTGTTGGCACGACAATACAGAGTTGGAATGGCATGGTGGAAAAGTGTTCCAACGACTAGGACGAGTACTCTACAAGGTCCCACTTGGAGACAAAATCTGTGTCCGATATGCCAATCAGCTCCGTCCTCGATATCACGATGTACCACCACAGCACAACGACAAGGATGTGGAAACTTTGTTCGAGATGTTCGACCTGCAATCGTCAACTTCGATGCCGACTACAACAAGTTCAGTACCGTCATGCGACGTCACGACAACAGCGACAAACGAGGACAACATACGAGATCGACATGCACGCAACGTCCACCATCACGGCTCCAGGTGGACGCCTACCAGAGGACTTACCATGCTCGTGATATCAGTTGATCACCTGGTTTTCATGTTTGGAAAAGGGTAGGTGTTAGACATCGAAACGATCTACCGACCCACCATGACCATAACTTTTGATCGTAACCTACCGTGTTAGATAGTACTTTTGGAGCCTAACTAGTGATCTCATGTGACTATATAAACTCGTCAATTTAGGTTAGTTATGTGTTATTCCTAATATACATATTCTCTTCCTATTCTACTGCCATCTACCTTCCGTGACACAACAGATATCCTTCTCTTATTTCTTCAGGCTTGAACAAGATTTTAGAATTTTATTAGGTCCACGTTTCGACGTTCCGACGTCTTCGCACAAGCATACATCACATTTGTTCTGTGACACTTCTTAAGTCCCCAGTCGGTCGACCCCGCATCGCGACTGCTGATCAGGGCTCTGAAGAAGGCGAGGACGTCCAGTTTACATCACCGTAACAAACAGTTGCTCCTCACCTGCGACCTTTCCACCACTGCTTGTTTCCTTCCCAGAACGATCGTCACTGCCATTGGTAGGGCAAGACAGCCGCAGGCGTGCTCATACCTCGCTGCGTCGCCTGCCCCGACTCGTTGCGATGCTATAAACTATAGGTCCAATAAAGCCATTCAATCCGTTACAGACATGAAGAAATACGGGTGCACCACATTGGTTGTTAACGTTTGAAGATGTTTTTCAAGAAAGGATTGAGAGTAATACGAAACAAAGTCATACGTGAAGTACTTTCCCTGTCACATTGAAAAAAGGGGCGCGAGATTCCTATGAGTGTCATCCACACTAAAACTGTAGGCTCCTACTGACAGCGTGGAGGTAGGATTCGGTGCACTGCTCCCTTTCGAGTCTATCGCTTCGCATTGCAGATCCCTCTTTTGGTCCTTATGCGTACGTCCGCAAGTGGGTAGATAGTGCGTCCATAACGCGTCTCTAGCGGACACCAGCATTCGAGTGTTTTAAGCGGCTGGGTTGAACAATTTCAAATTGCAGTGGCTCCGAATGAATATGAAAGCATGCAAGCCATTTGAATAAATGTCTGAAAGAAGGCAAAATACAAGGAAAAGAGCATAATAATGGACATAAAATCAAAGAAGGAAATTAGAGCCAGCACAATTTAAGATTGTTCAACATGACTCACCTATCTCACTTTCGAAGCTTGGAGAGCTGAAAAAGTGGGAATCGCGGGAATTTGCCAACGAATTTCATCAAATTCAGCTGGTTCGCCGTCGCCGAGGCCGCAGCCGCTGTCGCGTCACAGTGAAGCGCGCTCAGCGCGCCGATCCGCAATGATGAGGACTGTATACCTGCCGATCCACCGTTTTGATGTACGCCATCTTTTTTTTGCGACTACGAACGCTGGATCGACACCC